CATGGTCGTGGTAGTGGTGGTGGACCCATGTATGGTCATGGTGGTGATGGAATGTATAATCGTGGTGGTGGTCGTGTTGGAGGATGAGACTCAGGGGGAGCCCGTGGTAGGGGACATGGTAATACTCCGAGAAAGTGTACTCATTGTGGTATGGAGGGACATACTATCAACTTTTGCTACGATCTCTATGGCCCACCTCCAACCTGGGCAAATCATGCAGCTGTAAATGGTGGTAGCTCAAGACAAGAATCTCAAGTCACTGATCAGATCCCCACTACATATACAAATACTTCAAAAAATGAGATGATGAGTGTTTCACGGGATGAGTATGAGCGGTTCATTCAGGGTACATCTCAACAGAACATGGCTACCCTTGCACACACAGGTACGACTTGTCTGGCATCCACATCTTCCCGTTGGATTATAGATTCTGGAGCTTCCGATCATATGACTGGAACTCCAGGTGTGTTTTCATCCATTTTTCCGTCCTCCACTTCCCAATCTGTTACTCTTGCCAATGGCTCTACATCAGCCATATGTGGTGTTGGTAACGTTGACACTGACTCATTATCCCTCTCCTCAATTTTATATGTTCCCAAGTTTCCCTTTAACCTGATGTCAGTTAGTAAATTGACTCAGTCTCTTAATTGCTCAATAACTTTTTACCCTTCCTCTTGTGTGTTTCAGGATCTCAAGACGGGGATGAAGATTGGTGGAGGGCATGAAGCTGGTGGACTGTATTATCTTGATGGAGGTGGTTCGGCAACAACACTTCAGTCATCTCTCTCCCCTCATCAGTGGCACTGCAAACTTGGTCATCCGTCTCTTAGAGCTCTTCAATTACTTGTTCCGTCGTTGCATCATCTTTCTATTTAAATTGTGAGTCATGTCAGTTTGGGAAACATCATCATGTCTCCTTTAGTCCTAGAGTTGATAGTCGTACATCGAGTCATTTTTCTTTAGTCCATTCGGACATCTGGGGTCCAAACAGAGTAGTGTCTTATAATGGTTACAAGTACTTTGTAATTTTTGTTGATGATTATT